TCAGACGAAGAGAAAAACATAGACTAAGGTGAGGCTTGTATCATTCCTCAAAGGTCAAAACTATTAGGATAGGGCGAAGTTAGATCAATAAGAAGCATTTCTCAGTGTCTCAGTAGGCTATTTAACTATATTAACGGAACAATTCAGCATCGTAATTTAGTTTACTTAATATTACCCAGCAAAGTTGAAAGGAGCAACATTCTCATTTATTGTAATGTTCTTTTAACTTGCGCTTATGGTGTTTATACTATAGAGAACTCGAGGGCCATTTGTGGTAATCCTTTATTCGCCATATATATAGATCGTTTTCTGTTCGAAATTTCTTCCCAGTTGTGCAAAATCATGACCCAAATCCATTGAACTTCTGAAAATTTCATTTATAAAAACTTAGCCGACTTTGGTATTTGGCCTATTTTCTGAATTGACATGGACAATGAAAGGGTGAACACAGAATATTGTAACCATCTTTCCAGTTCAACAAAAGTCTACTTGCTACATGTGTAAAAACATTCAAGTATTCAACATTCATTTTCTCCATTACGTCTCTTTCCCCTTCACCAAAGAATGGGTCAAGAAATGTGCCTCTGACCCTTGCCCTCAGAATACGAAGATTTGAGATATGAGTTCATACCATTCATATTCTTGCACAGTAGACTTCATACCATTCTTTTTTCCGAGTCTTTCCTTGTTTTTAAATTTCATTGGAAACTTCCCACCAACTCCCCTAAGTTGACAAAGGAAACACTAGTAAATGCTATCTCGTAAGTCCGTACTTGTTATATTCTTCTTCTACTTTTCCGAGGGAAAATGATAATTAATTTTGATTAATAATATTATTACGATATTTTATTAGCCTTTGGTTGACCCAATTACGAATGGCAAGCAGCCGGCATGAACATGCCACATATCAAACTTTATGGCAAAATACCCAAATCCACCCCCAAAGTATAGTGGCAGGGACGGATCCACCATCGAATAAAAAACGGGGACAAATCCACCCACAAAGTTTTCGACTTAGACAAATCACCCCAAATTTAACGTGTGACGTCATTTGACATCAGCAATCTGTTAATTTGACGTCAGCAATCCGTTAACGAATTAACGAATTGCTGATGTCAAATGACGTCACACGTTAAATTTGAGGTGATTTGTTCAAGTTGAAAACTTTGTGGGTGGATTTGTCCCTGTTTTTTGTTTGAGGGTGAATCCGTCCCTACCACTATACTTTGGGGGTGAATTTGGGTATTTTGCCCAAACTTTATTTTCTTAATGCATATCTAATGGTCTTTTCCGGCAACAACTGGCAATCCTTTTATCTGTACCATGTCTTGCATGAATTAAATTATTACCCTGTCATGGCCAAAAAAATTAAAAAAAGGGGGGAAATAACACACTTGATGTAATTTTTTATTTCGGTTTGATCGGTTATAATGATTATGAGTGAATTTTTATATATTTTAAAATTAATTTTTTTAAATATTAATTTTAAAACTTAAATCATGTACTTATCATATAATATGATATTTATTTATTATTAAATCTAACCCATGAATTATTAGAGTCTAATTCATATTGTTTGGTTACCTAGAAAAGAATTAAGAACAAACTTAGAGTTTGTTTGGTTAGTCACTTTTTTCAGAAAAAAAAATCACGATAGTCGACTAAAAATTCAATTGGCTTGGCTTAGGATTTAACTTTCTTTGCAAGTAGATTGATATATAATATAGTTGATTGTAGAAGGAAATATAATGCATTATAACCACGTTATCTAAAAAGTTTTAACACGTAAATTGAGGTATAATATTATTTTTTTTTGTTAAAAAAAGAAATGCATTATAATCACATCTTTTTAAAAAGTTCTTTTTAAGAAAGTGGATATAACTGATTATAAAAAAAAATTATATAAATATAATTACTTATTTTTTAAAATAATTAATTTTATTGTAAATATATAGTACGTTTGGAAAGGCTGCGAATTATTGTGAGTGTGTTTAACTGTGGTTATACTGTGTTGTAATTGTGGTTGAAAATTATTTTGATGTTTGATTATTTATTTTTTAAAAGTATTATA